TTTTTTTTTTTTTTTTTTTTTGATATTGGGGGAGGGATGGGACCTTGGGCTTGCAAGGCAGGCAGCAGAACCACTGAGCTAAATTCCTTGCCCATCTCTTAAAATAAAAAGGGCTGGGATGTAGCTCAGTGGTAGAGCACTTCTCTAGCTTGCTCAAGGCCCTGGAGTCAATCCCTACTACTACAAACAAAAAAATAAACAAACAAGAATACCAGAAATACAGAGATAGTTTAGCTTTTTTTTTTCCAAACTCGGGCCCCTGTGCTTGCGAGGCAGGTGGCAGAACCACTGAGCTAAATGCTGGGCCCCAGTTTACCTCATCTTAATACACCTCCAGTTCCCTTCCAGCCGTGCAGTGCTCACACCAGTGTTTCAGGGGTAGCAGGTTTCCTCTTCCCTTTCCTTCCTGTCCTCCTTCTTTCTTTCTTTTCCTTCCTTCCTTCCTCCCTCCCTCCCCCCTTCCTTCCTTCCTTTTCTTCCTGCTCTCCTTTCTTTTCAAATAGATCTTTCTACATTGCCTAGACTGGCTTGCAGCTCCTGTCTAAAGAGATCCCTTTGCCTCATCTTCCTAAGTGCCAGGATTATAGGCTTGTATTGCTGTGCTCACCTAGTGTGCCTGTATTTTGACTCTGACCCATCACATGAGGTCAAATATGTTATTCTCCGTTGTCAGTGTTCAGAAAGTTGCAGATTTTGGAATATGTCAGATTTTGGATTTTTGGGCTGGGGCACTTGAGCCAAGTATGTCAAACAGGGGTGTGTGCTGGGGGGCTAGGGTCATGGCTCTGAGCCTTCACTGGGATGGTCCCCTTCTGAGAAGAAAGTTTGTGCACCTGCTCCCCATCTCCTGGGGTCACACCCACCCCTTTCATTGCTTGGTTCTCTCTGGCCTCTCTACTCAGCCCTAAGGGTCCCTGTCTGCAAGGCTGTCCTCAGGGACTTCTGGGGCTTGGGCCAAGTGGCTGAGCAGCTATCTGAGGAGGACCAGGCCGGCTCTGAGGTTCTGAAGGAGCAGAAGAGAAGGATCACACTGGCCCAGAGGGTTAGCCCATCCCTGGTATCCCCCGAGGCAAGTGCTAGGACCCACACTGAGCTTCTTGAAAGTAGGCAGTGACATTTGTTCCCGAGGATGACCCAGGACAGGCACTCGAGGGTGGGTTTTTTTGCCTGAGCTGCTTATTTTCAGGACTGTGCTCCATGACAGGAAAATGGCTCCTAATCTGCCCAGAAGGGACCAAAGCAGCAGATGACACACAGAGACTTAGTGGTTTCGGGAAGCATTGTCAGCAGCCTCTGAACACCCCAGGTAATGTCGGAGGCACTGCTGGGAAGACACTGGGAGGCCACAGCATGCATGCGGAGTGAAGAGGGAGCTAATGATGTGGGACACGCTCCCCAGTCATGGACACCATGGCCAGCTTGGTGACTTGGGGAACTGGCCACAGACCCAGCCTTACATCTTTCCTGCATCCTCCTATGTGAGCACATCCCCCAGTCCATGAGGGGCTCACAAGCAGCAGGGGCAGAACATTTCTGGCTCGGGGTCTCAGAACCCAACAATTTCCTTCACACTTCCTAAGGTTTTTCTGGAGCACAAATCCAGTAACTACTCTTGCTCTGCTCTCCTGAGATCATGTTTGCAATGGTGTTAATATTTTAAAAAGAAATCTCAGTCTCTCCAAGGGGAGTCTTCTTAAGGTGGCAATGGTCTTGGAGGTTAATTTGCTCCAGCTTTGAAGGGTGAGTGGATTCCAGTGCCTTGGGAGGTGGGGCTTTTTGCAGCCAGGTGCACAGTACCAGGTGTGTGTGGCCCATTCGGGCTGCCAGGAGCTCAGCAGGGCTGAGGATGCCTGGTGGAGGCCAAGCAGGACCAGGGGAGGCAGCCAGGGAGAAATGTGGTCTCTGAGTCCCCTGTCCCGGAAAAGATGGAGAAGCCAAATGGGGTTGGGGGTAGAGATGGGAGTTCCTCCTGTTCTGTGTACTCCTTAGATGTCACACAGGAGAAGTGACTTGTGTGTTCTCTAGACAGAGAATGAAGGACTGTGGTGTATATTCTCAATGACTGTACCAAGGGAAGCTCCTCTGTGGAACTACACACCCTTTAAGGGCCAGCATCACTAGGCAGTCATAAACAGTTGTTTGAACCTTTTTGTGGGGGCTGAGTCTGGCACCTGGGGCTCAGGGGCAGATGGAGCCTGGCCCCCACCTGCCAGGACTTCTGCCTCACAGTCTGCTGTGGTATGGATGTTGTTTATCTTGCAGAGGCTCACATGCTGGAGCTTGGTCCTCAGTGCAGCCATCCTGAAAGGTGGACCTTTATACAGTGGGGCCTGTGGGAGGTGAATGGGTTCTTAGGGGCTGGGCCCCCTTCAAAGAGATTAATGCTGGTCTCATGGAGTGAATGAGTTCTTGTGAGAATGAGTAGTTAAACAACAGCAGGATGACCCCATTCCCAGTCTCTGGCTTCCTGTCTCCCTGAGTGGTCTCTTCCTAGATCCCATCTGCCATGTTGTCATATAACCAAGAGGGTCCTCATCAAAGGTGGAATTCATGGGGCAGCTTGATCTTGGACTTTCAGCCTTCAAAACTACGAGTTAAATGAAACTCTTTTCTCTGTAAATACTTTGCCTTAGGCATTTTGAAGTAGCAATGGAGAATGGATTAAGACACAGGCCACACAAGGGAAACTTTCTTTAATGCAGTAGAGTTACCTTACTACATGAGAAGGCTGGGCACCGGCTACTGATCGTGGTAGAGGTGCTCGTGTTAAACCTTGGAATTCCCCAGGTGGCCAAGAGCAGATACCATTCCAGGGAGGGAATATTCCCATTTATGCAAAGGCACAGAGGCCTGCAAAGAGTATGGTATGGGGAGATGACTACAAGTAGTTTAGTGTGGTTAGTGTGCCCTGGAGAGTTGGTTGGGCTGGGTCAGGTCAACAAGAGGCTGAGTGAGGATACAAAGGGGTGGGTGGAGAATCTGAAGGTTTTGCAAGTGAGGAGAATTACTCTGCTCAGTCCTTGTGGAGAGTGCTTGGGTGAAGGCAAGATGAGATTGAAGGGGGAGCTCCTGACCTGCAACAGAACTGAGAAGTACCTGAAAGTTGGGATCACTACAGCTCAGAGCTGATGGGGTCCTTGTGGTGAGGAGAAGAAGCCAGAGATGACCAGAAGTTAACCGGTGGATAGAAAGATAAATTGAGGCAAGAAAACTTGAAATGGGATCAGTTATATGAGGAACCATGGCCTTGGTTTAGATGTGCTGGTTTGAGAGTGTGTGCAGAAATATCCAGTGAATGATTGGAGATAATACAGTCCCCCGCCCATGTGCTGAATACCCAATGGGTGTTCTAACTCTCATACCACACTGGTCTTAGGATGAGGAGATGACAAGTCATCTTCCCAGAGGCATAAAACTAAGAGACAGTGGGCCTAGATATGTACTAAATCTTAGTTTGCAGTGCCCCTTCCATTGTAGGTATCCACTATTGTTACTTGAAGAAAGGGCAGCCATTACAACATCTGGGTTCTTCCAGAAAGATCCATTGCAGGTCCCACTCTCCAGGCCTGTGCTCTTGAGGCAAGAGCCCTGGAGAACAGTCTGGGGTGGAAAAGGAGATATGGGGTCCTTAGTGTAAACAGTCATGGAGGCAATGGTGTGTGTGAAATCAGGCAGGGAGAAATCCAGACAGCCATGGCAAACCTCAAGAGGAGTGGGTTAGGGGAGGAAGGAGAGAATGACAGTGTCAAATACAAACTGAAGAACAAGCACAGTCCAGATGGGCAGAGCTCACTGGCTTCTGCATGAGAGAGGTGCTGAGCAAGTTCTGTGGAAAGTCTTCTTGCAAAGTGGCAAGGGTAAAGGCTGACGCCTAGGGCTCAGTGTGAATGGGAGTCAGGCAAATCCACCCATCAGTACAGAGACTGGCGGAAAGGAGGAAAGAGGTGCTGGACCGCTATGGAGCCAGGAGGTTTCATGTTTAGGAGTATGTGTGCACGGTGGGGAGGAGTCCCAGTGTTTATGTGGATGAAGGCCTCAGTGGAGAGGAACTATGGAGAGATAATAGAATCCAGATAGATGAGAGAGTGTGAACTGGGGCAGCAACATGGGCCAGACCCTAGTGGCTAGCTCAGCCTTGGACAAGAAGGAAGACACAATGCTTTGACATCATGGAGAAAGACAAAGAGTCTCACAAGCCAAAAGGTGTGGACACGAAGTGGAGAGAGCAGATGCCTGAAGGTCTCTGTAAGGAAGCTAGAGGCCAGGCCACTGAGATGATAGAGGTTGGTCCCTGAAGATAACCCATAAACTAAGCAAAATTGGAAGGTATTTCCTGGATCCTTTCCCACAACCCTTGCTTAAAATTTGCATTTATCTTTCTTTATATGCTTTTTTAAAAATGCTATATCTAAGGTCAGAGCTCTAGGACTCCAACCTGGATGCCCTTTTTGGCCCATGGGTTTGGGTTTGGCTTGTTCTTAGGCCTTAAGTTTTTTTCTACTTACTTTGTATGAACCCACCTTGACAGCTCTTAGCAATCCTACTGCTGCAGGTGAAAATTTATTCTTCCCACTGTGGCTCCTGAAAATCACTGACCACCCTCACCCACACATTCAGCTGGCCACTTGCAAGCCATGGCCAGCACCTCACTTCCAGCTTTCAACACAGGAAGGGTAGTGGGGGGTAACTGCAACCGAATTGGAAGGCCTGGAACCCTTAGACATAAAGGAGAACAACTGCTTCTTATTCACGACAGTAGTAAATGCTTTTCTGAAGGGCCAGTAAATAACATTGAATTTGAGATTAGGACCAGGCAGAGGGGCACACAGCAGGCAAAAGGTATGCCCATCAGAGAGAAAATAATCACAAAATGACATTTCAGTAGGCAGTCAACTACCTTGGCTTTTCTCTACCAATATTTAGAGATCTTGGATCACAACTCAGAAACAGGCTAACGGTTCAAAGAGATGTTAGCATTCTGGGGGTAAAAGTTGGGTGCACTTACACTTTGGGATCCTCCTTAATTGGGGGTGACTTTATATGAGAGCAAGAGATAGCATATTTGTTTTGGCTGATCTTTATAAGTGCACTTCGAGGGCAAAATTCCTGTAATAAAACCAAAAGAGTTCACTCAATTTAAATCAGAAATCTTTGTACTCTAGCTGAAGCCATTATAATAAGTACTAGTTATTATCCTATTTAGGGTGACACTTTGAAGAGCAGGCTAAACTCGGGGTCTTGCTGGATAATTATTTGTTGAATGAAAATCACTGTGAGCCTTATCTGTCATTACTTTAAATTCCAGATGAGTTGCCAAGTTTACCCACATGCACATTCACACATCATGCACACAGGCTTGCAATACAATGCACACATGCTTTCATGTAAGCACCCCTCCCTATCTTTATTTAGCCTTGGTCATCCCTCTCCTAGGGGATGTGCTGGTTCAAGACCACCTTTTGCTAAATGCCTGGCAGGTCTCCAGAATCCCCATTAGAACTATCTCCAGTGTCCTTCCCCTGCTTGAGCCAGTCTGGCCTCCAGGGACCCCTTGCCCTGTGGGTCAACTCCTAAGTTCCTCCCTGGGCTCCGAATCTCTTCCACAGGGATCCTGGGCCAACTACCTCACCACTCCCTGCACCCTGGGGCGTCCCTGGGGACACCTCTTTGGATGCCCCTGGTTTGTAGCTACTGCCAGAGCAGTGCCACATGCCAGGGACACTTCCTCCTGCTCCATCCTTTCTTCCCGCTGCATGTCCCTAAGGGGCATTCCCTGGGCTGGTGGGAGATAGTTTCCTCATGAACATGGGGCACTAACAGTCCCCACCTCACAGTGTGCTGAGGTTTCAATCAGAACTTGGATTAGTAATGTGACACATAATAAGGGCTTAATAAAGTCAGCCATGCTATTTTGTGTTTTACACACCTATTTTGCTTGCCAACCAACATGTCAGGTGGTCATCAAGGCAGTGTCATTTTTCATTAGCAACTTTTAAAAAAAAGCCACTGTGATAATCTTCTCTTTGTCAGGGGTTTTATGAGGCCCGGTTCAAAGAAGAATAAGCCAAGGTCCCTGCCTGTAAGGGTTGGGGAATCAGAGAGGAAGCCAGTGTGGGAAGAAGGAGATAAATCAAGAACTCTGATGCATCCAGTGGGAAGTCACAGGCAGGCAAGTCTTTAGGGTGACAGGCATTTCCTGTGGAAAGGAGATGGGAGGAGAGTCCAGGAGGAGGGAAAGTTGGGGGTTTGGAAGGGCCCACTGTGTTCAGGACATCTAGTGCACCAGCAGGCAGAGGCCATGCTGGGGCCAAGCTGTGACCTTCCTTGACTGTGCTAGAAGGGTGTGTGGGAATGTCCAGCAGACAAAAGGCATAATTAGAGTTGCAAAGTGATAGAGAACTTTTCTAAAACAGAAAAACCTACAGAGAAATATACAATAAAAGCAGGGCTTCTTTAACATAAGAGAGAGCAATTCATGAAGAAGAAGGTGACTACTTTTGACCAAATTAAAATTTAATTTCTTGGCCAACAAAGATCTCCAAATTAAAAGACAGATAAAAGACTGGGTAAAGAATATTGGCTGCATATATCACCGAGAATTACTACACAGAAGACACAGAGAACCTCCATAAATCAATGAAAAGACAACTCAGTAGAAAACACAGATGCTTAACAGGTGTCTGTCTAGTGAATGTTAACAAATCCTCCTCACTCACTAGCTATGAGGGGTCAGAAAGGAAAAGTTCAAGAGTGGTGCTACCAACTGTTACATCATCACTACTACTATGACCTAATCCCCATGTGTCCGCCATGCACACCTTTCCCCTATATTTTCTTTAAGCCTCACAATCACTCTGGAAGTTAGAGATGAAGAAAACTGCCAAGGTCAGGCAAGCAATAAAGAACAGGGTGATTATTCAGTGGATCCCATGCAGGTCTTTTTTAACTGCACAGCTGTGGTCTTTCCACCCCTCATCATCATCAACCCCTGCTAGCCCCGAAGGTGTTTCCTAAGCAGGGATGGGACAGGGAACCAGGTGGTAGCACTCCTGACAGAGGGAGCATAGGAGCAGGAAGGCTCATGGGGGAAGGTGCACCCTGCTTTTGCCCCCTGACTCTGAGATGCCTGTGGGTCATCAGGAGGCAGCTGCCCAGGAGGACCCAGCTGGAAATGCAGGGTTGTACCTCAGCTCTTCCTTGCCTGGCACAGATGAGGTCCAAGGATGGAGACAGACTATGTGGTGGTAGAGAAGGACAATGCTGGGAAGGGCCTGGGAGATGCTCATATCCGCAGGGCTTGCACAGGAGCCCAGGGCAGGAGTGAGAGGAGTGGAGTGTGAGAGAGAGTGGTACCCTAAGGACCCGGAGCAAGCCTGCCCTGCTGTCCAATGCAAAGCACAACTTGGCCAAGAGCACAAGAACACTGCCTGACACAAGAGGAAGAGGCAACGATGGTATGTGTGGGCGCAGAGCCTGTAGGGCTGAATCCAAGACCCCAGCGGTGGATGGGCAGGGAGAAAGTAGACACAGCTGGAGAAATCATTCTGGTGGTGCCAGAAAAGAGTTAGGCACTGGCCAGGGGACAGCCACTTTCTGCCTAGTGGAAAAGTCCTTTCTAAATGAAGTCTACTTACTCTCCGGTTGTTACACTTCAGGACTGTGTAGAATTTTTCTGAGCCCACACTTGGATTTGGAAGGGCTATGACAATGGCAGGGACATAGAAGTCAAATCCTTCGGGTGTTGCAATTTTGGCAAACACATAGTCTCCAACCTGTAGAGGGGAATATATTTCATAGCAGGTATTTCACTTATAGACCCCAATGACAATGTTTCTAAAAATTGGTTTCAAAGCAACCCCAGGAAAATACTGATGCTAAAATCCAAATATATATTTTTTTTCTCAGTTAAGAAAGAATTCTAGAATTCCTTGGAATTCACCTGGAATTTTGTTTGGGGAAGCCCCATTTTGGAAGACTCTGACAACTGAGAAGGTCCAGGGGACAGCTGGTAGCTGGTGAAGGTCTGGAAGGCAATCCTACAAAGACTAGTCAAAGGAACTGATCTGGGGGAGCTTGACATAAAGAGATTTGAACAGTGTCTTTATGTATCAAAAGGACCATCACCCAGACACAGGAGCAACACCTGGGACGCATGGGCCAAAGGTGCAGAGGTAACTTGGAGCAGGAAGAGAAGCTTATAAAGGGACCAGTAAAGAGTGCAGGCATCTGTCAGCTGTCCCAGGAAAGGTACATGGAGGTGTGCTGTGGGTCTGACCAGGGAATGAGAAACAGACCACCAGGGCTACCTCTGGTGATTCCTCCTCTGCGCCTCTTCCTGAATCTGCAAGGCCATCTCTCTACTCCCAGACACAGTATAGCTTCAGAGAACTTATGAGCTGTGAACTTACAAGGGGAGATGCACACGTAGGATAACTGCACCGTGGCCCCAGGGCTGAGGGCAGCTCGATAACTCCCATGTTAAGGAGAGTGCTACCTCTGTCCTTGTTATTACTATAATGTAATGTAATCATTTGCAGTCGAACCTTCAAGAGCACCAGTAGCTACAGCAACTGCCTCCTCCCACTGTTTCCCGCCTTGCAGAGTGACAAGTACCACAAGGCACTGCCGTTGTGAGCAGCATACATAAGAGGGAGTTGGCAGATCACAGTCATGCCACATGATGGGTCCCAGAAGCAGTGGTCACTGCAGTTTTTGCCCAAATACAAGTGCCCTGCAGGAACCCATCTGGGTTCAGCAAAGGGCCTCATGGTCTTGCCATTCTGTTAGTCAAAACCTGTGGATGATGCAAAGAAGCTCATAGTAGATTGTGGAGCAAGTACCTGCAGCAGCGGGCAAGGCATGGCGCCCCCAACAGGCGTGATGAAGGAGGTGGGCACAACCTTGGTGTCCCCGTACCTGAAGCTCACCAATGCATGGGTGTGGCTCAAACACTTCTTCACAACCCCTGGAAGGAATCAAAGACAACAAACTACAGAGACAGCGATGGGTGTCCCCTTTAGTTTTTTCCATCTGCGGTCTCTAGGGAGTTGCAACACTGCCTCGGAAGTCAGTGCCCTTGGGAGGTCCCTGGGGAGTCATGTTGGGGACCATTTGATGCAAAGAAACCAAGACCCTCTTCGGAGACACTTCCTCCCATTGGATGTCCTTGCTTATTTAACCCATTTCCATCTACAGAGATAGAAAATGGGCACTGTTAAATTGTGAAAGTAGAGAGAAGATATGAACTCAGACAAATCTAAAGTTAACTTGGTTGAACACATGCTATGATTTTTCCTAAACTGTACAACCAAACAGGTAAAAGATTTCCTGTCTTCGTCCATTGGGTTGATTTTTGCCTCTGACTTGCTGGTGAGAGTTCTGAGCAGCTTTGAATGTGAGAACAGCTCCCTCCACCCCCAGGAGAACATAGGCCTTGCTTGCATCTCAGGAGCTGTCAGTGGGATGCCAGAAAAGCTCTCTGCAGGAAATGAGCAAGGCGCTCATAGCATCACATTTAATCTGCACAAGAATCCTAAAATGGCTTTTATTGTTGTAAATACCATTTCGAAAGTGAGAGAAACTGAGACACGGAAAAAACTGAGTGACTCCAGTTCAGTAGCTAGTAGAGGACAGAGGCAAAATTCAAGTAAGTGAAAGTATAAAGGTTTCTGACCCGGTATGTTACACCCAAGGAGCGAGTATTCAGTCTCCCCGTGCCCTTTCTCATCATAATTTGTTCCCATGGCAGAGGGCATAAATCACCATGAATTTCCTGACTAAAATGCTTCTTGTCTCTGAGCAACAGAAGAAAAAGATTCATTTCCAAGGCGATGACCTAATAAGGTTTTGAAAGGTATATTCCTCCTTGACTGCCAGCACCCAGATGAGCCAGGCTGTCACCTGTCACTTCCATTCAGGTCGTTTCTTCACCTGGATGATCCACACTGACCTTGCAGCAGTGTTGGCCCCTTGGAAATCCTGGAAATCTGTGATCTGGGATGTCCTAGCAAAAGCCAGCCGCCAGCTCTGCTCCAGTATAGATTTGGACTCCAGCAATGGAAGCCCAGGTCCAGGAATGCTTAGGATTCTGCACAACAGTTCCAGAAAGGAGTCACCAATGAATGTTGTGTCTGTGCCCAATGTGATTCTTTTTGGCCTTCTTTTTCACAAGAGGGAAAGTAGCAACTCAGAGTGACCAGGTTCATGAATGGGGGCAGGTGGATGTCATTAAGCCTTTGATGGAATGTCACCTGAGTTATATTAACTCAGGCAGGGTCAGGACCAAGAATACAAAGCTGAGTCTAATCTAACCCAAATTGAGCAGTAGGCTGTAAAATAACTGGCCTTTCTCTTAAATAGTGTTCACACCGTGAAAGGTGATAGTGAGGGCTAGATAATGATCCTAGATTAAAGAGGATGAAAGAGACATGTTAACTAAAGGTAACAGATGACTCTGGATGGGGACTTGTTTGGAGGCTCTAGCAAGGGAGCAACAGCCACTTGTATACCCTTGGCTGAGGAAATGGGCCTCCTCTATGGGGGTGGTCGTCTTCTTTAACCATGTGCACAGCTTTGGGAGGGGCGCCAGCTCGATCAGCTGAAATCAACCCTGGCAATCAGTAGGGTGACAGGTGTTGCAGCCAGATTGCCCTCATATTCTGAATTGGGACCTCTACTAAAGGAATGCTATAAAGGCCATTATTGGGGCAATTAACAAAATCAAAATATATAGATTAAATTACTATAATAATGTTAAATTTCCTGAATTTTATAACTTTATTGTGATTATATTTAAAAAATCCTTGTCCTTGAAAAATACACACTGACATATTTTAGAGGCAGAAGGGCATAATAAATGCTATCTAATCTCCAACAGGTCAGAAAAAATAATGTGCGTATATGTATGTGTGAAGGGAAGGGAGGGACAGAGAGACAGACAGATAGACATAGACTAAAATAAAATATGTGATAAAACACGATGAAATGTTAAAAATTGCTAAATCTGGGTAAAGAGTGCACAGGCATTTTCTGTATTGTTATTATAACTTTTGTAGGTTTGAGACTTTTAAAAAATAAAAAGTAAGTCCATGAAGGTGAAATTGAAATTTTCAGTTAAAGATTAGTTGACTTTGGGGCAAGGAAAGGGCACAAAAACGAAGTACATCCAGCTGCTCTGTGCACTGTCATTTAACTTGGCAGAGTCAGGGTTTACTATTAATCAGTTGCTGATCAAAATTACTGGTTATATGACTACATGTCAATGTTTGTTTCCCTAACCTGACTTTTTCAGTTTACACAGCTGCAAATTAAAGATTCTCACTTAGCAGATCCCATGCAGCTCTCAGGTGTACATGCTCTTGGTTTCATTGCTGGTACAGTCTCAGGTATTGCACACGATGTGGGATTCGTCCTGCCTCTGCTCTCTCCAGCAGCAGGTCTTTCACATCTTCATCACACAGAGTCTAGCCAAGCTTTACTTCCCTGGGGATCCTGGCCCGACATAAGCCCCAAGCTGTAAGCCAGAATCCTTTTGGAGTTCAGTCCTTTGTGGCATTTCCGTTTGAACACCAAAATGTGCTTTGGATCCCTCTCCAAGGCTCAAATTCAGAAAGTCAAGTATCTGAAGCAGAAGTGGCTCCTATAATCACCTCTCAGCAAATCAAAGCAGTCCTGCTCCTGTGAGAAGAGTTTTGTGCCTCAGCCCATGTCCTCATCTCAAATGCTTCTTGGATCCATTTTTACGCCTATCCAGGCAAGTTCCCAGTCGCAAATGTGATATTTACCAAATATGATATTTATATTGTATAAGATGTCTTCGTTGTAGGTTTTACATAGGGATGGCTGGAAACTAAACATTCTGCTGAAGTATTTTTTCCAATTTAAAATGATTATTTAATGAATTTTGTCTATTTTTAATGATTAATAGAAGATGCCTACATGAGTTCAGCTCCATTTCTGCAGTTCAGTCATTACCCAGGGTTTCTCTGGGATTTCTCCCAGGTTCTTCTATACTTCCAGACCCTCCCATGATTTCAGTGACTACTTCTGTGTTGCTCTCTCCAGATTTCCTCTGCAGACTCAAGACACTCATCTCTGGTGGCTTCTCTGACATTGGCCTCTCATAGGCACCTACAATTCCTCCCATCCCAGTACATCCTATGTCTCTATCCATATTCCCATCTCTTATGGGCACCATTATCTACCTGCTGGCCCAAGCCAGGGACCAGGGTGACAGGCTCCTCCACTTCATGTTACCCTGCAATGGGAGGGATGTTTTAGATTTCATGTGTTGACTGTGTTTCTTCTTGCTTTAAATGTGGCTTCCCAATGCCTTGAGAGGAAAGTTCAAACTTAATGGAATCCTTTCTGAACGGCTTCATATTTACATCTGAGCGACTTTATTAGTTTTGCATCCTTTAGGTTCCAGCTGGGGTCTATTTTACATCTCCAGACATTTTACACACCTGCAGCTCTTCACACACATTTTCCCCACTATCCACAAAGCCACTTCCATACCTGAGGAATGGTGCCCACCTACCCTCCAGAATCACATCCCTCCAGAAGCCTTGGTGAAGCACTCTGGTTCCATGGTCCTGGCTTCTTGCTCCTCCTCTAACATGCCATGCACACTCCAGCCTCAGACCTCCCCACTAGAACTCTGTTCCCCTAAATACTTTCATGATGTGCCTCTCTTCTTTAAGTCCTTGTTCATATGTCACCCTCCTCAGGCACTCTTCACTAACCACCGTAGTTGGATCACAACCAAATATACTCTCAACCACCCCTATGGCTTGACTTTTGTCATTGGCACTGGATGGGAAACGTTATGTATTTTTATTGTCTGTCTGCTTGCTTGCCTCTCTCCTTTAGTAAGATGTAACCTCCAAGAAGATAAGAATTCATGCACTTACTATATTAGACTGGCACTTTCAGGAGATTACATAATAGAACATATTAGGTGTATAATAAAAATTTGTTTACTAGGCAAATTTGTTTACTAGCCAGGCATGAAATGTCAGTATTCTAGGGAAAGCACAGGTTGAAACTTCTAGTCCCTAGCTCTAAATTATATAACAATGGAGTCTCAAAAAATAGAAGAAATCTACCTGGAAAATAAAAGCCATTTTCATCACATCTTGCAATAACTTTCTGGCCTTTGAGGTGATCTACTTTTTTTGATTTGATTTTCCTTATTGGGCTTCCTTGAGATTTCTGCTGCTGAAAAAGACAAACAGTAATAATGAATGAGAAAAAGTCAATGTGGGTAGGGAAAAATCATAGGCAACAGGTACCCTGGGATTCTTTCCTGAGGTTAGATTATTGAAGAATCACAGAGCCTACATAGACTATGACACTTACTTTGGAATACTTTCTGTCCTAGGTTAATTAAAAATTACCCTTTGGGTAGGGTAATTCATTCTCTCCACAGTTTTTGTACTTATCTCAAAATGAAAGGAAAATTAGATAATTAACTAAAGGGAAAATAAAGAAAAATTATATATACAAGTAGAATCCTTGAAATTCTATGACAGCCTCAAAGCTGGAGAGCAAACACTAATTCAGAACCATAACCTGTGCTGCTGCCTTCCTAGAATTATGAGAACCAAATGAGTCCTGCAATGGAGAAGTTGGTAATTAGCTAGAGAGAGAGAGAGAGGAGCATGGACAAGCAGTGTTTTTCAGAAATATGATGTCCCACCTCATCTCTTCAGGACAAAGGAAAACACTTTTAATCATGTCTGTCTGGATTTTAAATGTCCCCGCAAACTCAAAACTCAGGCTAAAGGAGTAGCTTCCCTCCAATGGGTTTTTGATAGGATCATGAGGGTTCTAACTTCATCAAGTGGATTAATCCACTGATAAGATAATATTTTAATGGCATATTGGTAGGTGACAGAAACAGAAGGTAGGGCCTAGGAGGTAGCCCTTTTCATCACATCTTACAATAACTCTCTGGGTCAGGGGCATTACCTTGGGGACTACGTCTGGTCCTTAACCCCTTTCTCTCTGGCTTTTTGGTGCTCTTTCTGCTTCCTGGCCACCAAGAAGTGAGCACTTTTCCTCTGCCACACCCTGCTATCATGATGTTTCTGCCTTAACACAGGCCTAAAAGCAATGGAGTCAGCTAACCATGGACCGAAATCTCGGGAACTGTAAGTGAAAATAAACATTCCCTCTGTTTTTCCTGGATATTTTGTCACAATGATAGAACGCTGACTAATACACAATCTTACAAAGAAGAAGGAAGCCCGTGGGCTGAGATTGGTGAGTGACTGGATTATGCTTGTTTCTTCTAAGGGTTGGGGCAACAGTGTTACTAGAAGGCAGTGAGCAGTGCTTTCACAGTTCTGAGAAAATAACTTTCAACGTAAATTCTAAACCTCAGCAAACTGTCAATTAAAGGACAAAATCAAAACATGTCTAGTCATATCCTTAAGTAAAACTTTTTCCCTCCCATTCATCCTATCTTAGGAAATTATTTGAAAGTGGACCCCAGCAACATGAAAGATTAAAACCAGGAAGTGAAACACATACAATGTACAAAGCAGTAAAATTTATCCCAAGGGGAGAGAGAAGAGAAATCTCAAGATGACAGCTATGTGCAGGTCACAGACCATAGGTGGTCTCCAGAGAAAAAAGAGGATCTAGAAATCTTGAATATATACATGCACATATAAAATCATGCATATAAAATGAATGACTTAAACATAAGCTAAATTGAGACAAATTTTAAGTACTGAGGGAGAAAAGATAAACCATTTTTCTTGTTATTATTAATTTTCTTTAATTGACATATCACATAAGACCTTCAAGATGACCATTTACTCCTAAATTATAATTTGTTCCAATTATAATCATGTAAATATTGTTTTGTAGTTTTCTTTCTTTCTTTTTTTTTTTTTTTTTGTACCGGGGATTGAACTCAGGTCCTTGCGCTTGCAAGGCAGGCAGCAGAACACTGAGCTAAATCCTTGGCTGTTTTGTAGTTTTCTAAAAAAATTTAAATGTTTACAGTGAACCTTTGGAAGGAGCACAGCACTAATAAAGGTGGTCTAATGTGGGATTGAAAGGAAGAAAAGCTTTGGAATATTGATCTCCATGATGTCAGGGGTTATTAAATCTGATAAACCTAGAAATACAGGTAGGTATATTAAAGAAAATATTACAACTGTAACTAATGGAACAAATAATATAAATATCCAATATGGGATTAAGAGAAGCAGGATCTGATAAGAGTAAGACTATTCCTTTTCTTCATGTAGTAGAATAAAATAGTTTAAATATGATAATCATGAGACAGAGGAATAACAGTTTGAACAGAGAACTATAGACAAATATTTCATAGAATCTGGTTTTGAGATTAGCACTGGGGTAGCAGAGAAATGATACTATTAGAGTGAGTTTTTAAATGTTATTTAGGTTGTTATCATATGAAAGTACAATGATAAAAATTACAGTGGACCTTGACTTATAAACAATTCATTTCTGAGGGCTGGTTGTAACTCAAATTTGTCAATTAAAGGCTCAGGTTCCTCTACACAGCCTTCAAAGTCTCTCTCCTATATACAGGCTGATCTCAGTGTCCTTAGAGAGGCATTGGCTCAGGATTTCTCAATTAACCCCACACAGGAAAGGATGCTATAATATTCCTTCCAGAACTCTTTAAGAATTAAATCTGTATCTGAGACCATCTGGAGGCATAAGCAGCTAGCTAGCATTCAGGTCACAACTCAAGACTTTGGTCATAAGTTAAAACTAAAATTCCAGTCATAACCCAACATGTTCTATGTCAGGCCATTTGTAACTCAAGGATCTACTGAAAAGTTAAGGTGGAAATCTCAGGAAATACCTGGAGGTAAGGATGCATTTATTCTTTCTATGAATGAACAAAATTCTAAATTCACCCACTGTTAAGGCTTGGATCTAGATGTCCCCTCAAAGCTTCATGTTCTCATACATGAAGCTTTTCAGAGCTAGCTGGATCTAGGTTGTGTGATACTTAGATTAAGAGTGTGTGGTACTAAATTAGGACACTGATTGGAATTAGCATATTTCTGAGTGGTATCATCCCAGAAAAGGCCAGTATCCTGCATGGGATAAAAAGGAAAGGGAGGCTTGCTGCTTTTTCTTGCTGCTTTTGCTTGCTGCTTTGCTGTTTTCTGCTTGCCACACCATGAACTGTTTCTCCTCTGTTATGCCACCCTGCCTTGGAGCCAGCCAATGATGGACTAAAACCTCTACAAACTATGAGTTGAAATAAACCTTTCCTCCTTTAACTTATGAGTCTTTTAACTCAGCAATGAGAAAACTAAAACACCCACAAATTGCACATGTGCAGAAAAGACTTAAAGCAACATGGCAAAGGCTTCAGAAATTGAACTACAATTTACATAATTTCACACATCCCAGCCTACTAGATTATAATACCCTGAATGACTAAAGCACAGGAATAATATGGCCTTTTAAAACTGAACTGACATGGGAACCCTAAAGTTTACCAAGTATGGTGAAAACAAAAAAATTTTTCCTGGAAGCTTAAATCTAGAATCTCAAAACATAATATTCAAAATGCCCATTATCTAATAAAAAATACAACATAAGTAAAAGCAAGAAAATATGACCAATTCTCAAAGGCAATTAATAGATTTTAATATTGATATTCAAAATAGTAATTATAACCATAGTTCATGAGGTAAATGCAAATGCTCTTGAAATGAATGGTCAGCCAGTATTTTCCAGCAGAAAAACAGAAACTATAACATTGTCAATTTTAGAGGTAAATATATAATATCTGGACAAATATAATATCTATTAAATAGCAGAACAGGTACAACACAGATAAAAGGTAGTGTACATGAAGACAAATCAATAGAACATATTCTATTTGAAGAAAACAGAGGAAAAAAGATTTAAGAAAAAGAACAATGTCTTTTTTGTTTCTAGATAACCCTTTGAAAGCCCAGATCAGTTATAACCTTTCTTCAAAGACTCACCTCCAAGAAATTTCAGAAAAAACAACACTTTGAAAAGACAGCTTTATTATTTCTAAATGGCACTATGTGAATAAAAGCTGTAGTGAATGTCTTGACTATGAATACTACACAAAGAAACCAGGAATGTTACTTTGATTTATAAAGTTCAACTCTAAAGTTCTATTTTCTATGCCTGGACAGTGATTATTAAAAGAAAGGCTCAATTCCTGTTAATTTCTTCCCTTAAAATTAATTCCCCAAAGCCTTTATTCTATCATTCAGAATAGTCATTATTTCTAAGTCCCAAACAATTTGAGAATCAATGCTATTGCAAAGTATATTACAAACAAACTGCTATAAAGGAAATAATATAGACTTATATGAACTGAGTTGTAGGTAAAAATCTATTTAAGGAATCCAATAAGCAAATAACACATGAATAGGGAAAGAAGTCAAGAATTCAAAGCAACATCAAACCAATAATGTGTTTATCATATTTTTTACCCAGTGTCTCCTGGCCTGATCTTAAGGCACCCCAAAAGGCCAGAAGTTAGCATTGGGGTGCAGACAGAACACTCTAAAAGAAGCCCCTACTTTTTAATTTAAGGAATAGGATAAAGAATTTCTAACAGAGAGAATTAAAAATTTTCCTTCTTTTTTTCTTCATACCTTAGTCACCAAGGAATCCTGTGACAGTGGCGGTAATGTTGACAACATGAGAAGCGAGGACCCAGCATTCCAAAGGAGGGAGATCTTGTTTTGAGTCTCAGCACAGAGTCCCAAGAAAGTGAAATCAACTGTATCATTTGCCCTGACTCTTTCCCCCTTTGTCCCCAGATGCAAGCACAGTAAGTAGAAGCATGTAACTGAGCTCAGTTAAAAACTAGCAAACAAAAACAGACTGTTGGCTGAAGAACTATGAAGAGGAGCCTTTGGGAACCAGAAACTACTGGGAAGGTCACTTATATTAGAAAAGGAAAGGTGAAGTATCATCTCAATAACAATACAAGGATATCTCAAGAAAAGGAAACTACAGATCTAGATACTTCATGAATCCACATGAAAATGTCAGCCAATAAATCCAGCAACATATAAGAAAGATTGTACATAATGGCCAGTAGAATTTGTTCTAGGAAGGCAAAGCTGGTTTACTATGCATATTAATAGAATAAATAATATTAATAATTTAAGGCACCATCTTAATAGAATAAGGGATAAAACTATATGATAATTTCAAAGAATGGA